CTCCTGGGCTGTGCGTCAAACCACTGCGGAGGTTCTACAGGCTCAGAGAAGGCACAGTGTGGGCAAGGGGATCCTAACTGCCTGGAGACAAACCAGGGAGCCTCTGCTTATACAGACCCCCGTACCCAGGGCCCATCCCCACCAGCCCGCCCCCCCCTTGTTTGTCCCTTCAACGATTCCTGAAGGGAGTGTGCTCTTTGGGCTCACCTAGCCTCCCATTCCCAGGACAACTTTTAATTCATCCTCCCCACTCATCAACCCCCTCTGGCTGGACGTTAACTCAGGACGACTGAAGAAGGAGCAATGGCTCCGATGGTGTTGGTGAGGAAAATGGCAAGTCCTGGGGCTACCGAAAGAACAAACCAATCTGTCTTGGAAGAAGTACAGGAGGAATGTTCCTCAGGGGCAAGGGTGGCGAGACTTCATCTTATAGACTTTGGACCTGTTGTCAGGAGAGACCAGTCCCTGGAGAAAGACATCACGCTTGGTAAAGCGGAGGGGCAGCCAAAAAGAGGAAGCCCCTGGACCAGATGGGCAGACACCAGGGTTGCTGCAACAATTGTGAGGATGGCGCGGGGCAGAGCAGCGCTTCCTGTCGCTGGACATGGTCAGAAGCAACTGACAGCACCTAGCACAACAGACTAACAGCCACCCGACCAGCAGTCCGGTTGGCTGGACTGACTAAGAGAAGACTTCAGTCCCCCTGCTTGATGTGAATCTTTCAAAACAAAATTCTTCCAGTGACCAAGAGATGGTAAAACCTGCCACCTAGTCTGGTTGGTTGGAGAGTTAGGAAACCTTCTCACTTTTAGGATTCATCGAATCACTTCTGTTCAGAGTCTGTCCGATCGGCTCTTTTATCCTAGTCCTGCTTTACTACGTGAAATGTATCCGTCTTCCTCCCGAGGCTCAGCCACAGACAGTCCCTAACGGGGAGAGCTTGGCGTTTCATCGGTACTCTTTTAAACACAGTCACTATGGGCTTGTCCCATGGCCCCCACACTGCACAAGCACGCTTCCCGGTCACTATGACAGGAGCAGCCAGATCCGGATGCAGGGCAGCCCTGTTTGGGATCTG